ATAGCCTGGTGCCTGAGCAACTAGGATGTGCAGCGTTCCCTTGGGAACCTGGGATGGATACTTGGGAGAATGATATATACACATGAGAAATATAGTTGGTGCTTTTCAGATGATTAAATGAGGAGAGGGAAGGGGGTAACCAGAAGATAACCCAGCCTCATTTGACACATACCCAAAGTTCTACAGCAATTCTTCACACAATATGGTCAATCATCCACCTTTTTTTCTTCTGGTAATTATTGGCTATTTGATCTTTGACATAAATTTTAGGATCAGCTCATCAAGTCTCCTCTCCCACAAAAACTTCTTAATATTTGATTACAATAACATTTAATTTTTAAAAAAAGTTTTAAAAAATTATAATTAATTTATAATTTTATAATTTTTTTAAAACAAGAATAAGAATTGTGCTGACTAGTTCTCCAACCCAATGTTGACTAGTCATGGAGGCATTCTTGATTTTAAAGAGAATGTTTCTAACATCACAAATAACAATGATATTCATTGAAGACTTTTGGTAGAAATTCTTTATCAGATTAGAAAGTTTCTCTACTAATCTTGGTTTGCTATGAGTCACAAATTAGTGTTGAATTTTATCTAAATGCTTTTTCTGGTGTTTTGTGATGAACATGTATTTCTGTCCAGTAATGTAAATTTAGTATGTTTAGATACATTAATGCATGCAAAACCAATTTTAAAACATTATAAATAAACCTAACTTGGCCATGATATTTTAAAGCATGCCAGATAGAGTTTACTCATAATTTATAACTTTTTGTTTATCTATGATCATGAGAGAGATGGGTCCATACTTTCCGATTTCTGTGCTATCCTTATCTGTTTTTGGTATTAGGTCATAGGAGACTCATAAAATGCACCTGGAGGTTTGCTCTTTCTCCCAGGAAGGACTTTGAACATGATAAATATAATTGGCTCTTTGAATATCTGGTATGGTATCATCCTTGTGTTTTCTTTTGGGAAGACTTTAAAACGATATAATTTAATACTTCCTGGATGTTATGAATTCTGTCTCCCCCAAAATGTGTATGGTGAAGCCCTAACTGGTGATGTGACTGTTTTAGGACATAGGGGCGTTAAGGAGGTAATTAAGGTTAAATGAGGTCATAAGAATAAGGCCTAAATCAAATAGGACTTATGTCCTTATAAGAAGAGAGACACCAGAGTTTTCTCTTCAAGCATGCACAGAGCAAAGGCCATGTGAAAACTCCATGAGAAGGTCTCTGTTTGCAAGCCAAGAAGAGAAGTCTCATTAGAGACCAATCCTGGTGGCTGGCACCTTGATCATAGACTTTCAGCCTCCGTATTGGTAGCAAATAAATTTTTATTGTTTAAGCCCCCCAGCCTGTGGTATTTTCTCATGACACCCAGAGCAGACTAACACTTATTTATTTATTTATTTATTTTTTTAATTCGTCTGTCGCCAGTGGAGTGCAGTGGCCATCCGTACTGCAAGTCCTCGGTTCCATTTGTGTGAGAGCTGGATAACGGCCACCCGTAGTTTTTTTTGTATTTTTGTAGAGAGGTTTCATGTTAGCAGGATGGATCTCCTGATGTGATACGCCTCGGTCCAGTGCTGATTGCTGGCCAGGCCCTTATTTTTTTTTTTTTTTTTTTTATTTATTTTTTTTTGAGACGGAGTCTTTGTGCCAGTTGGATGAGTGCTATCTCAGCTCACTGCAACCTCTGCTTCCCAGGCTCAAGCGATTCTCCTGCCTCAGCCTCCAGAGTAGCTGAGACTACAGGGGCATGCCACCAGGCCCAGTTAATTTTTGTATTTTTAGTAGAGACAGGGTTTCACCATATTGCCCAGGCTGGTCTTGAACTCCTGTAAGTGATCGGCCTGCCTTGGATCCCAAAGTGCCAGGCATGCCTGGCCTTAACACTTATTTAGTGTTTCTATTTCTGTCAAATCATATGACATATTTTTCTAGGAATTTGAACATTTATTAGTATGCCTTGTTATAAAGTTGTTCAGAATGTTTAATTCTTATATTTCTGTGCTATCTGTAGTTACATCTTTTTAATTCCTATTATTGCTTAGTTGTGGCTTCTCTTTTTCTAGGCATTCTAGACAGGGAGGATATTGTCCCTAAGGGAGTGAAAATTAGCCTTGGGTGGGTCTTACTCTTTTAAAGTATAAAGCACAGATATGTATACAGTACATACTCTTTTAAAATATAAAACACCGATATGTATACAGTACATAAAGGGCGAACTAGTATATATGTGGAATCAAATTTTCATGGAGGTTAGTGGGGAGAGGCTATTAAGAAAAATAAAGCCTAAAACATTTCCCAGGATGGGGAGATTATAATGAAAAACAAAAAAGGATAGGAAGCACTGTCTTGTTTTCTGATCATTTTCACTAGAGTATTGTCTATGTTAGCAAACCTTTCAAATAACCTTTAGCTTTGTTATTACTCTCTATTGTATTTTTTGTTTTCTATTTAGTTATTTATTTAATATCCTCTACCTTTCACTTTCTGTGGGTTCATTTTGCTACTCTTTTTCTCATATTTTCATTTAGATTATTAGCTCTTTATTTTCATCCCTCTTTGATGCAAAATAAACCTAATAGGCCTCAAATTTCCCTCTAAGTTTCTCTTTCACTGAATCTCATAAGTTTTCATATGTAATATTTTATATCAGTTGATTTTAATATTTTAATTTCAGTGCTGACTTCTATTTTGATATATTCAATTTTCAACTTCCAATTTTATGTGGTTTTAAAAAATTCTTTTTGTCATTGATTTCCAGCCTAATTGCATTATAGTCAGAGAACATGGTCTGTAAGCTACTATTTCTTTGAATTCTATTGAAATCCATTTCAGTATATGATTTGGGGGAGGATTCTTTAGAAGACCATTAAAACCAAGTTTATTAATTGTATTGTTCAAATCTTCTAAATTTTTAGTAACATTGTGTCTACTCGACACATGCATGTTGAAATTTCTCAAAGGCATAGTGGGTTTTACAATTTTTCCTTATAGTTTATGTTTTTTGTTTTATTAGGTGCGTGCAAGTTTAGAATTGTTACGACTGTCTGGAAAATGCAGCTGATTGGGAACTGATCCTGTTAAACCCTGGTCACGCTTTCTCTATGCTGAAGACTCCCACTTCCTTTTGGTTTCCCCAGCATCCCGGTCATATCTCTGTATCTTTTCCCATCCATCTGTTAAACTTTTTTATGTCCTTATGTATTAGATGTGTCTTTTTAAAGTATATAGCTAATTTTTGTTTTTGTTGCTTTTTTTTTTTTTTTTTTTTTTTTTGGAGACATGGTCTCACTCTGTTGCCTAGGCTGGAGTGCAGTGGTGTGATCTTGGCTTACTGCAACCTCCGCCTCCTGGGTTCAAGACATTCTCGTGCCTCAGCCTCCCGAGTACCTGGGACTACAGGTGCGCACCAACACATCTGGTTAGTTTTTGTATGTTTTTGGTAGAGACGGGGATTCACCATGTTGGCCAGGCTGGTCTCGAACTCCTGACCTCGAATGATCCACCTACCTTGGCCTCCCAAAGTGCTGGGATTACAGGCGTAATCCCACCATGCCCGGCCAATTATTTTTTGAGTCAGGGTCTCACTCTGTTGCCCAAGCTAGAGTGTAGTGGGGCACTCATAGCTCACTATAACCTGAACTTCTAGGCTCAAGTGATCCTCCTGCCTCCCACAGTCTGGTACTAGGACTCTAGGTGTGCGCCACCACACCCAGCTAATTTTGTTTTTTTGTGATTTGTTTGTTTGTTTGAGAGAAAAGGTTCTTGCTATGTTTTACAGACTGGCCTCAAGCAATCCTCCCACATCTGCCTCCCAGAGCTGTGGGATTACAGGCGTGAGCCACGGTGCTGGATGGGATTTTTTCTTTTCTTTTCTTTAGCAGACAAATTCTGACTTTAAATGGCAAGTTAAGTACATTGTGGGTAGCACAAAACTGCACCAATCAGATCTCTGACTGTGGGGAGTATGACTAGGGGAAGGGAGTGTTTTGGAAATCCACTCTCTACCATCACAATGGGCCACCACATTCACAGAAAGACCACACCCCTCACAGGCTTCTTCTCGCCAGAGGCCAGCAGAGATATGAAGGCAGGCCCATGCCTAGGAAATCTCAGACTCCTCAGATGGCTCAAGGTCTCTCCAGCTGCTTGGATAAACTTTCCTGGAACTGGTCTCCCCTCTGAAATTATTCTTTCCTTTTATTTTCAGAAAACTCCCCATATTGGTGATGGTCATTATTTTCTGTATCTAGCCACTCACCTTAATCAGCGTGTTCCCAGCTTCTTTGCTCACCATCGTTTCTTGAACTCCACTCTTCAGAGTTGTTTCCTTCTTTCTGAAATACATTCTTACTCCTTTCATCAAGGTTGTACAGGTTGTAAACTCACTTTGCACATCTGACGATATCTTCATTTTGTGCTCACACTTATTTATATTCCAGATAGATACAGAATTCTATTTTTGAGACACCCAAGGACATATCCCTGGTGGCCGTGGCAACTTTATCATTGGTTTCACTGCCAGTCTTTCCTGGGTAATCTGTGTTTTGAGTTTGGTGACTTCCAAAATGTTTTGTTTTTGATGTTCTGCATTTCGGATTTGATGTCTCTGTTCCTCAATGTTCTCTCTTCCATAAAAGAAAAGTTTTGCTTTAGCACTGTCAGAGGCAGTCAAACCAGAGGAATTCCATTGTGAGTGAGGGCTAGGAAAATGAGGCGGGGACTTGCTGGGCTGCATTCTCAGAAAGCTAGGCATTCCTAGCCTCTAGATGTTCACAGTTAAGGGAACAAATTAATAATGTTTACTAAAGAGACCAAGACTTGGGAGAGTCCAGATATCCCGATATCTGGAGAACAAAGGCATTCCTAATTTTGCTTTAAAGATAATAATATTGATTCTTGTAAAATATAGTAATTAAGAAAATTAATCCTTTATCACAAATGTAATGTAATGGGGAGCCGAGCAAGAAGACATGACGCAGATGAGAACAGAGGTAGCCTTTACTGGGCTCATGGGCGAGGTTCACCAGTCCCTTAGGAGGAGGGCTGAGGAAGTCTCGCACAGGGCAGGTATCAGCGGCCTTTTATAGGGCGTGGTAGGCGGGGTCTATAGGTTTCGATCTCTGAGGAATGACTTGTCCAGGAGTTTGTGCAGAGTGGGGAGTTTTGGCGGGCTCAGGGTGCTTTTCGCATGCTGAAAAGTCCTAGCAGGAAGTCCCAGCAGGTAAACTCCTGACAAGGGGCCCGCTATGTCAGGTGGTACTGCCATGCTGGGTCTAAGTCCCTGCCTAACATTCTGACCTCTTTCTAATAAGAAAAAGAGGCGACATGTTCATCTGGCTGCTTCCTGCTGGTATAGGTCATTGTGGGGTTCTTCGGAGATCGGAACTTGGGTATGGGGTGGAGTAGCATCTGATTGACAGTGACCCGGGAGACTTCCTTTATGTGGTCCTGGACAAAGCGGAGGACACAGGGAGCTATGAATAGCAAGAAGCCAATGATTAGTAAGGGGCTTAGAAAGGGTAGGACCCAACTGGCTATAGATGACTGCCACCACCCAAATGAGGGCCCCAATCCGAAGTTTCTCTGGTGGAGTCCTTCCCGAATCTTTTCTAGAGTGAGGAGATTGGTTTCTACTAGTCCTGATTCATTGATGTAGCAGTAACATTCTTCATTGAGGAATATGCAGGTGCCATCCTTATCGGCTGTAAGGAGGTTGAGTGCCCGATGGTTCTGGGCTGCCACCTGGGCGACTGAGGTGATCTGCCATTGGAGGGAAGCCAAGGACTCCACAGAAGCTTCGATTGCTACCTGTAATCAGGTTGAAAGGTCCTGAAAGGCCTGGACAGAATGAGTTAGGGCTCCGGTTCCTAGGCCAGAGGCTATGAGGGATGAGGCTAAAGAGACCCCGATCATCAATGGAAGGAATACTGCCCTTGCCTGGCGGGGGCGGGCAGAGGGCAGGAGGGAGGATAGCTCAGCCTCACTGTATAGGGTGAGGCTGGGGACTAGGGGGATGGGAACGCATAGGGTAGTGTTGGGAGCATGGAGGGTTTTTGACAGGGTGGAATTGCACCAAAAATACCCACCTGGAGTGGTGGTTAGATTTGGAGGTGCAGATCCTGTCCGGTTGCACCAGGAAGCATTGGGGGTGGAGTAGTAAAAGGGGAGTTGTTGCCTAAGTGGGTCTTGGAACAAGGGGACCTCTCCCACGGTTCGGCCGGGAAGGGGAAAGCAGAGGGTTAGGTTAGAGGAGTTAAAAGGACTGGCTAAGGGTACCACAACCAGTGGGGGCTTATTCAAGGCTGCACACAGGAAACAACGAGAGATGTGTACTCCGGCCATGTGTACTACTTGAGCCCATTCCCTGACTAAGGTTAGCCATGAAAAAGGGTTGCTGCTGTCCTGGGGCTTGATGCCTGGGTTGGCTATAGCTGAGATGGCTTTCTCCTGTTGTTTGATGTCAGAGGCCAGGCTGACAAGGCTGCTTACGACCCTGATGTAGACCCTAAAGATCCTGAGTCGGGCCACGGGGTAAAGGTCATGGACCCCTTGGTAAAGGCGGGCCTCAACCCCCGACGCCCACCTCAAGTCCCAAGGGTCAGGGATGGTGAGGAAGAATGTAGACTTGTCATACTTGTCACTCATAGTCAGTCGCACAGAGGAAGTGGGCTGCTGCCAGAGGATTTCTTTGTCGTCCGGAATGGTCTTGTGCATGTTGCAGTAGTGACAAGGGCAGCCTCCACTGGTCTCAACCCAAGTGGATTGACAGGCATCGTTCGTCTGATCATATATGAAACAAATGACTGGGTATGGAGGGGGGTACTTTTGGGGGATACTCTGGAAGGAGGATATGTTAAAGGTTACTTGGCTTTGGCACCCTTGAGGCTGGCAGTCTACCATGGCTATGGTGAGGGAGGCTCATGCGATCTCCCTGGGTCCAGGTCTCGGTAAGGTAGAACCTCCACTGGAATGGATTGGTGGGGGGAGTTTGGGCAGGAGTCTCACTTAGACTCGGGAGGACTAGGTGGCCAAGGAAGGTTAGGCAGAGGGTCGTTACCTGCGCGCGTGAGTCGTAACTTGGTAGGGGTAACAACCTGAGTGGTCCAATTGGAATCATGTTGGGTGGGCGGCTTTTTCAGCTAGGACAGGTGATACCAGGAGGAAAGACCAAGGAGCTTGGCAGCGGTGGGAGTGGTGAGGATTACGGTGTATGGTTCTTCCCACCGTGGAGATAAGGCTCGGGGTTGCAGCTGCTTGACCAGGACCAGGTCTCCAGGTGCTACGATGGCGGGATTCTCGAGGGCTGGGGAAGCGGGTGCAGGGAGACACCGGTCCGCGTGTTTTCTCAGAAGCTCACGAAGGAGGGTTAAGTAAGGGAGGTAGGAGCCTAAGGGAGGGGAGAGGGCTGGCAGCTCCTGGAAGAGGAACGGGCATCCGTACAGCAGCTCAAAAGGGCTGAGCCCTGTAGGGGCCCGCTGAGCTGCCCTAAGATGAGTGAGAGCCAAGGGAAGGAGAGTCACCCACGAGAGGCGGGTTTCTAGAATGAGTTTGGTTAGATGTAGTTTAAGGAGACCGTTTGTGCGTTCTACCTTTCCAGATGACTGTGGATGGTAGGGAATGTGGAGCTTCCAGGTAATCTGGAGTGCGGCCGCCACCTGCTGGGTGAGTTTAGAAATGAAGGCCAGACCATTGTCCGATTGGATGGATCCGGGGAGACCAAACCTGGGGATGATGTGCTCTAGGAGAGTGGTTGCCGCGACCTCTGCAGTTTCCCGGGTGGTGGGGAAAGCCTGGATCCATCCTGAGAAGGTGTCAACCAGGGTCAGCAGGTAGTGGAATTTTTTATGGTGGGGCATGTGGGTAAAATCAAGTTGCCAATCTTACCCTGGCTGGTGACCCCTTAGCTGATGAGTGGGCCCTGGGTGCCTGAGCCTACCTTGGGGGTTAGCGGCTGAACAGGTGGCACATTGCTGATGTACCTTCCTAATTTGGGCCTGCAGTTAGGGGAGGTGAAGGATGGGTTCCAGGAAGTTATACATAGCCTTAGGCCCTATGTGGAGAGAGCGGTGTATGTCGGTCAATATACGCACTGCCTGAGTCTGAGGGAGCGCTACTCGGCTGTCAATGAACACCCACTCATCCTTGCTGTGGGTAGCACTGGGATGGGCCGTCAGGGTTTGAAGCTCCTGGGGAGAGTAGTCGGGGGAATATGTGGGGGAAAGAAAGAGTAAAGGTGCTGGGGTAGGGAAGGAAGTGAGGGCAGTGGCCCGTGTGGTGGAGTCAGCTAGATTGTTACCCTGCGACACAGGGTCCTTAGAATGCTGGTGGCTTTTACAGTGGATGATGGCTACCTCCTTGGGGGCCTGGAGAGCATCAAGCAGCCTCTTTATAAGTGGTCCATTGACTACTGGCGTCCCTTTGGTGGTAAGAAACCCACGCTCTTGCCAGAGAAGGGAGTGGGTGTGTGCAATAAGGTAGGCGTATTTGGAGTCTGTGTAGATATTAACCCTTTGCCCTTCGGAGAGAAGTAAGGCACGAGGAAGGGCAGTGAGTTCAGCCTCCTGGGAGGTGGTGCCTAAAGGCAAAGGCCTGGTTTTGACCGTCTGGGTTGCTGTTATGCCAGCGTATGCTGCCTGCCGGTGGCCATCGGGGGTTAAGACAGAACTCCCGTCCACGAACAGGGTACGATCTGGGTGTTCTAATGGCTGTTCGGAAAGACCGAGGTGGGCGGGCGGCAAGGTGGTGAGAACCTCCGGGCAGGAATGTGCGGGGGCGGAATCGCACCCTGGAGTGGGCAAGAGGGTAGCAGGGTTTAGAGGGGGTGAGGTGGTGAGGGTGATGTGAGGATTTTCAATGAATAGCAGGTGGAACTGTTGAAGCTGGGACAGGGTGAGGTGGCTGAGACACTTGTGTGTGATGAGATCTGACAGTCGGTGAGAAGAGTAGACAGTAAGAGAATGTCCTAGGGTGAGCTTGAGGGCCTCCTTGGCAAGTTCTGTGGCAGCCGCCAGGGCTTGCAGACAAGGTTGCCAGCCCTGGACCGTGGGGTCTAACTGCTTGGAGAGATAGGCCACAGCCTGGTATGTGGATCCAACCGGCTGGGCTAGGAGGCCAGTAGCTACCTTTTGGCGCTCCTTGGTGAATAGATGAAAAGGCCGAAGAGGGTTGGGGAGAGAGAGAGCTGGGGCAGAAAGAAGACAGTCCTGAAGCTTCTTCAAAGAGTTGGCAACCAATGAGGGGTCGACAGCGGCCCAGTGGGCGCTTCCTTGGCAGCCTGGTAAAGGGGCTTGGCTAGGACCCTGAAGTTGGGAATCCAATGCCTGAAATACCCTACCAGTTCCAGGAAGGACAAGATCTCTTCTGCATTCTGAGGAGGCTGGAGAGTTTCAATGAAGCTTATTCTATCCGCCATGAGGCTTTTTGTAGTGGGTGTCAGGAGTATGCCTAGGTAGGTGACAGAAGGGGTGCAAAGCTGAGGCTTGGCCGGGGTAACCCGATAACCTCGGCTGGCAAGAAAATTTAAAAGTGTAGCAGTATCTGCAAGGGTGCTCTCCCAGGAGGGACTACATAGTCATAAGTCATCTACATATTGCAATAGTGTGCTGTGGGTAAGGGGACAGAGGCTAACACCCTGTGCCAGTGCCTGTCTGAAAAAATGGGGGCTATCTCGGAACCCTTGAGGCAAAACAGTCCAAGTCACCTGGGAAGAAATATGAGTGTCTGGATCTTCCCATGTAAAGGCAAACAGAAAGTGACAGTCAGGATGTAGGGGAATGGTGAAGAAGGCATCCTTTAGGTCAAGGACAGTAAAATGGGTGGTATCAGGGGGAATGCGTCAGAGAAGTGTATATAGGTTAGGAACAACTGGAAAGGTGGGGACTACTGCCTCGTTGATGAGGCGTAGATCCTGCACGAGGCGGTAGGCCCTGGAGCTTTTCCGTACAGGCAGGATAGGAGTATTGCATGGTGAGTTGGCAGGGACTAGAATGTGCTGCTGGAGCAGGTGCATGATGATGGGTTTTAGTCCCTGTCAGTGCTCAAGGGAGACAGGGAACTGGGGTCTAGAGGGAAACTTGGAGGGGTCCTTCAGCCGTATGCGGACTGGAGTATGGTGCTGGGCAATGATCTGGATGGAGGTGTCCCACACCTTAGGGTTAATGGGGACCGGAAACGGGAGTAGGGTGTCAGCCTGGCGGGGTTTATCAGGAGAGAGGAGGGGAAAGAAGAACGCGAAGTGCGGGGAGGGGTTGGGCCGGAAGTGAACTGAGGTCCCTAGCTTGGAGAGGAGGTCTCGTCTTACACAAGGGGACTGGGCACGAAGGAATGATAAGAAATGAGTGCGAGAAGAGGGAGCCATCCAGGTGGCAAAACAGAGGAGGAGTCTGGCGGTAGGTGGAGGGAGTGCCGTTAATTCCCATGACCGTGACAGTGGAGGGGTGGCTGGGGCCACTGAAGGAAGGCAAAACAGAGTAGGTAGCCCCCATGTCCGTAAGGAAGGATATGGACTTACCCGCTACCTGGAGCATAACCCTGGGCTCGGTGAGAGTAAGAGGGGTTCCCGAGTCTGGGCCTCTTCAATCTTCGTCGGTGTCGAGGAGCTGGAAGACGCCTCCAGTACCTGGAGGAGGGTCGTCACGTGGAGGGGTAGCGACTGTCTTCAGGTTGGGGCAGCGACTGTCTTCAGGTTGGGGCAGTCTGACTTCCAATGGCCTATCTGCTGACAGCTCAGACAGGGGCGAGTTGGCTCCTTAGGGTTGGGGTACCGCTTGGCCCAGTGGCCTTTGTTGCCGGACTTGAAGCAGGCACCAGGTGGCGCTCGGGGAGTACCTCCTCTCTGAGAGCTCCTGGAGCCAGCGGGCCTCAGGGCTGCTACCAAGGCCCGGGTTTGGAGTTGTACCTTCTGTTTTAGCCTGGCCTGTCGCTGGGCCTCAGCTGCTTCCTCCCTGGAGCTGTAGACCTTGAAGGCCAGTTTGACTAAATCCTGGATGGGAGTTTGAGGGCCGTCCTCCACCTTTTTAAATTTTTTCCGGATATCCGGAGCCAACTGAGAAATAAAGTACGTAGCCAAGACATTCCTCCTGCGGGGAAGGCAGGGTCAAGGCGGGTGTACTGAATGAGTGCCTCAGTCAGTCAGTTAAGAAAAACGGCCGGATTCTCATCTGAGCCTTGGACTACCTCCTTTAATTTGTCAAAGTTGACTGACTTAATGGAGGCTGCCTGCATGCCAGCAAGAAGGCACTGGACCATCATGTCTCGGCGGCGGTGGCCTGCCTGCCCAACCTGGTAGTCCCAGTCAGGCTTGGCTGAGGGCACCGCCTCGGTGCCGACTGGCATGGCGGGGTCAATTAAGTGAACCTGGTCAGCATGCTGCCTGGCTGCCGCTAGGATACGCTCCCCTTTCTCAGAGGACAGGGTTGAGGTCATAAGGACATGAAGATCATGCCAGGTGAGGTCATACGCCTGGCATAGGTATCTGAACTCTTTGATATACAGAGTGGGGTTGGCTGAGAAAAAGCCTACACACTCTTCAATCTTAGACAGGTCTGCCCGCGAAAACAACACATGGACCCGGACCACTCCTTTGGCACCTGCCACTTCCCGCAAGGGGCACAGGAGGTGGGTCCTGGACCGGGTATGGGCTGAGACAGGCGAGGAGGAGGAGAAGGTAGGAGAGACAGGGTCCGTCAGGTTTGGTGGGGACACAGGAGGAGTGGAGGGAAGGGGTGGCGCCGACGAGGACGGAGAAGCTGAGGGGTCAGAGTAAGGGGGAGGTTGAGTGGGGGACCGAAGCGGGGTCAGGGAAAGAGTATCAGGGGGCTCAGAGAAAGAGGAGGAATCGTCCTTCTCCTTGCTTGAGGGAGTAGATTTCGCGAGTAAGACCTGGGCCAACGAATATCGGACACAGAGGTCTGGGCGGGAGCGCAAATCCCAAAAGGCCTGAAGGTAGGCTACCTCGGACCATTTGCCTAGTCTCTTGCAGAAGTTGGTCAGGTGTGTGAGGATGTTCAGGTCTAGAGTGCCTTCTGCAGGCCACTGAGACTGATTATCTAATTTATACTGGGGCCATGCCACTGTGCAGAAGAAAATAAGCTGCTTTCCTTTTAGGTCTTGGCTGAGACCTAAAGTCTGGAAATTAGCCAAGAGGCACCCCAGAGGGGATTTTGGGTCTGGTTTGGACTGGGCAGCCCCCATGATCCTGAGGCGGGCAGTCCGGAGGCAATGGGAGCGTCCTCCCACTGCCAGGAGGAGTGTGGGGTATGACGGCTTCCGGGGAGGTCGGATGTCTCCTAGTCCCTGGTGCCGAGGTCACAAGTGAAGGAGGAGGGAAGCCCTGACAGGGCGGCGTTTTCGGGCAGGGACTCCTGGAGCCTGCAGGCCGGGGGAAAACTTACCCAGGAGTGATGGAACTGAGTCTTGGATTTGGAGAAACCACTCCCAGCTCAGAGAGGAGGTCCTGGCTCCCGGAGAGGAGAGCCTGCCCCGACAGGCAGGGGTCCGGGGAGGGGTCTCCTCCCGGTTTGGGCACCAATGTAATGTAATGGGGAGCAGAGCAAGAGGACATGAGGCAGATGAGAACAGAGGTAGCCTTTATTGGGCTGGCGGTGGAGGTTCACCGGTCCCCTAGGGCGAGGGCTGAGGAAGTTGCGGGCGCGGCCGGTATCAGGGGCCTTTTATAGGGTGAGGTAGGCGGGGTCTGTAGGTTTCGGTTTCCTGAGTTAGGTTTGGATCTCTGAGGAATGAGGTGTCCAGGAGTTTGCGCAGAGTGGGGAGTTTTGGCGGGCTCAGGGTGCTTTTGGCGCTGAAAAGTCCTGGCAGGAAATCCCAGCCGGTAAAGTCCTCACAAGGGGTCGGCCATGTCAGGTGGTACCGCCATGTTGGGTCTAGGTCCCTGCCTAACATTACTCCTTCGCAGAGCACATCTCCCCATCTACACAAGCATTGTACCTAGGATGGGGGCTTTACTCCTGTTACTTTTGGGAACGTCCCACTCTGTGGAGTAGCTGTACTTTAACCACTTTACTTTCTTAATAAACTTGCTTTTGTCCCTGGAGGAAAGCAGGAGCCAGGCAGCGCTGGGCTGCTGTGTGTGCTCAGGGCCCTGACCAGAGAACGCCCTGGCCAGGGCATGGTGTGACCTGGAATGAGATCCCCCATCTGAGGTGCTGTGGGAGAGGCATTGGGGATGAAGCCTGGAGGTGGGTGAGACTCAAATCTGATGTTGACCCTGGGAATGATCCTAGAGTAAGCGGAAGGCTGTGAGTCTGTAGGCAAGGGAGAGACCGACATGAGGGGAAGCCAGACTCATGTCATTTTCCACCTTGAGGGACTTCGATCTGGCCCTTGTTCTGTTGGGGTTCTGGAGGACATCCTGTGCCCTGGCCTCTCTGACCTTACTCCATATGGTGCTGATGCAGCAACAGCAGTGACCCTCGCGGGTCCTGGGTGGGATGAAAGGTGCCCAGATAGTTCCTCATTTTCTCTCCACCTTTTCTTTCTTTTTACTATTATTATGTCTCCCCTTCCTTTTTTCATCTTCCCTCTCTTTCTCATCATTATGTATTTGTCTTCTCCTTTGCTCTCTCCTCCTCCTCCTCATTCTTCTTACTCAGATCTGGATGTTAGCATTGGAGTGTGAAGCTGGGTGGGGTACCTAAACCAGCAGTTGGCAGTGACCAAATCCACGATGATCTCTAAAAGCTGGGGTGCTGCCCTGAGTTTATCAGGATGACATTTGGCAGGTTGAAGATAAATTCACTTGGATCAAGACCTCATGTGGTTGTTGTGAAAATTAAATAAAATAAGCTGTAGGAGCATCTGTCATGTAGACACTTACGTAGTCAATAAATGATAAGTCTTAATCTTATACCATGAAGCATCCTGACAGCAAATGTTCTGTCCTGCTGTGACACCTTGTGTCCCCATTTTTAGTGCTGAGAAGAGGGTTGTCACATCCTAACTCAGGGCATGCTGGACAGTTCTCCTGTTCAGGGCGGCATGGCTGTGGTTGGCAAACTTTGTCTCAGCCATGAAGGCAGCCCAGCGGGGCGCCTGCGGAGGTGGTGCCGGGTGCAGCAGAACCAGAAGGATGACACAGGCAGGCTGCTGTACCTAGGAACAATACTAGCTATACTGGGGAGATGTGTGTGCGTGTGTGTGTGTGTGTGTGTGTGAAAAAGAGTAAGCATGAGTTTGCAAGCCCGTGTAAGGGAGTGCATGTGTGTATTTGAGTATGTGTGATTGCATGTGTGTGTGAATGTATATGCATGTGTGTAAATTTGTGTGCAGGTGAGTTTATGTGTCTCTGAGTATATGTATACGTGTGTGTATGTGTGAGTGCATGTGTGTCACTGTGTGTGTGTCTGTATATGTGACTGTATGTGTGAGTGTATGTGTGTGAGTGTGTATGTCTCTCTGTGGGAGCTCATGGAAGCTCAGCAATGGGGCTTCAAGCAGACCAGTTTTTCTTGAAGAAAGGGGGAGAACTGGCTTCATCCAACTAGTCGTACATGTGTAGGTCTGGGATGGACTGGAGAGACAACTTAGCCCGAGCCCATTTTACAGATGGAAAGCTGAGGCTCAGAGAGGTTGAGTGCTTTGCTCAGGGTCATTGAGAGGAGTGACGTTTCTGTATCTGCCTCTTTGGGAGACAGTGGCTGAAATTCATCTCTGATGTGAGGCACCCCCTCTGAGGAATCTGCTCAGAAAGGGCATGGGAGCTGCAGCACGTGGTCTGCATCCTCTCCATGCAACAAAGGGCCTGGACTTCCAGCAGTCACAGGGTAGTCTGCAGGGCAGGGTAGAGATGTTCCACAGAAGCTGGTCAAAAGCTGGAATATCATTAAAGATCACAATATACCACCACATCAGTTCCATTATTTCTAAGGAGGCAAAGCAACTACATATTTTAGAAATTTACTGTTTATTTCTCATTTCCAGTCAGTCTCACCCAAAGGTTTCAAGTGCAAAGCCCTGGCCTTCCACCGTCTTCCCATAACCCAGGTCTGTATCCTGTCCCTTCCCTCCCCTGCACCTGGCATTGCACAGAAGGTGTGGGTGGCAATGTCCCCTAAAAGCTTCTGCAAGGCTTAGCTTCCTGCTGTGCTGTCTGTACCTGTGAGTAAAGGCAAAATGTCAAGAAAAGGATTCAATTGTCTTGTATCTAAAACCAGGTATTTTCTTTCAGGTGACCCTGAAAATTCAGAGATTCATAATTTGATCATCTATGTATTTTTTCCCAGGAAAGGCACTGAACGGGTTACATGTGCAGATCTTTGGATATAATCTATTGGAGAAAGGATCTGGGCTGACGACGCCAGCACCTAGCACAAGCCCTGGATGAGAATAATGGGGCCCTACAAGATGAACAGAGAGAGGGATTGGCGGTGGGCGGAGGGAAGGGATGCAAACAATTATGGCCAAGAAGTCACCTTAGGGGAAAAACCTAAGAAGAATTTTGTCTTGCAAAAGAGAAGGAAGCCTATAGAGAGAGTGGAAGAGGGCGTGAGGGGAGAGGCTGAAAGAGAGATAGAGGGAAAAAGGACAAAGGAGGACAGGAAAATAGCCAATAAGGCAGACACGAGAAAAAGGGAGAGATGAGAGAGAAACAGGAGAGGACAAGGAGACAAGAAGCAGAGAGGCAAGGGACAGGGACAGCAATGGAACTCAGAGAGGACATGGGAGCGAGCTGGAGGGAGCTGACAGAGGGAAGGGAAGAACACGCCCCGCCGCCGTCAAAGGCAGGACTCAAGAACGCTGCCCTTCGTGGAAGTGAGATGGGCCCCGCTGCCTGCGCCCGCTTGCTCTCAGTCTTGGCCGACCTGAGCGCGCGTCTCTCCCGGGCTCTCAGGCGGCGCACCAGGGAGGAGGTGCAGACGCGGCCGCCACCGCCCAGCCCAGCGCGCGGCTCTGAACTTGGCGCCAGCGCCCTGAGGACACCAAGCCCCGCCTTCCTGGCTGCACCCGCCTTCGGGGCGGGGCTTGCAGTTGGGCGGCCCCGGCGGGGAGGGCGCCGCGGGCCAGAGAAACCGCAACCCTGGAGAAAGCTCCCTGCTGATCCGCCGGGCGGCCCGGCTCTCCCCCGGCTCGGCTCCCCGGAGCCGCCCCCACCTGGCTCGGACCAGGACCGGCCCTGCAGGAGGGCGATGGCGTCCTTTGGCGGTGCCGGCTCTCGCTGCCGCCCTCTGACCCTGGGCGCCCGGACCTCTGGCTTCTGCAGTACCTCAGCGATAGGCTAGGGCTGCGCCCGGTGCCTGCGGCTCCCTCAGCGCCGTGGACCCCCGCGGCCTGCCGGCCCTCCTTACCTCACTGAGGCGGGAGAATCGCTTGAACCCGGGAGGCAGAGGTTGCGGTGAGCCGAGACGCGCCATTGCACTCCAGCCTGGGCAACAAGAGCGGCCTGGCGGCCCCGCTAGCGGCACCTCCCCCGCATCCGAAACGCTCAGCTCCTCCCGGGAACGCCCGCGGCCTTCACTTCCCAGGCCCCAGCTGTGACCCGCAAGAAGGCGGGCTCGGCGACCCCAGAACGTAGAGGTGTCTGGGAAGTTAGCTGTTCCCGTAGTACGGTGGGAGGGGGCCAGGGTAGAAAATGACAGTTCAAGTGCCTTAAAATTAAGAACTTAGGCGTTGTTTAAAAAACAATAAATGGAGTGAAAAAATCAAGCCACACCGTAAAAGAAGATATTTGCAGCAAGTGATAAAGAATTAATATCCAGAATATATAAAGACTGTTATTGAATCAATGTGAAAGAGAAAAACACCTAAAGCAAAGAATGGTGAACACCTAAAGCAAAGACATCTAAAGCCAAGACATCTAAAGCCGTCACTAGGCACTTCAAAGAGGAACCATGAACGACCAAAATGAAGTGAGTAGGTGACCAGTTCCCATTAGTAATTAGGAAGTCGCAAAGTAAGACCACAAAGAGGGTTGTGAGGGTGGCTCACACCTCTCATCTCAGCGTTTGGGAGTCCAAGGCCAGAGGATCGCTTGAGGCCAGGAGTTGGAGACTAGTCTGGGAAATATAGCAAGACCCTGTCTCTACAAAAAATAAAAATAAATAAAAAAGTAAATCACAAGGAGATGACTAACCACCAGGCAAAAATGTTAGAGTATGCTAATATCAACTGTTAAGAGGAATATGAAGCAAGATAGCTCAAATACGCTTTTGAAGGAAACATACCAGGCTTCATTCATTCTGAAATACCCCTTATTTAAGATACTCCATTATATTAAATACAATTCCAAAACAAAAAAAATCAAATAACAAAAAACCAGACTAACCCAATACTTTTTTTCACTTGTAATTTGTATGTTACACATATTGAAAGACATGTTTTAGACTTTAATTAGAGAAGGATTTTTAATCGTATATCACTCTTGTGCATACAAAATAAAATTGATTAAGATGTTTCTTATTTTATTTTATTTATTCATTTATTTTTTGAGACGGAGTTTCGCTCTGTCGCCCAGGCTGGAGTGCAGCAGCGCGATCTTGGCTCACCGCAAGCGCCGCCTCCCGGGGGGCCATTCTCCTGCTGCAGCCTCCTCAGTAGCTGGGACTACAGGCTCCGGCCACCACACTCGCTAATTTTTTTGTATTTTTAGTAGAGACAGGGTTTCCCCATGTTGGCCAGGCTGGTCTCGAATGCCCGACCTCAGGTGATCCGCGGAGGTGATCTGCCTGCCTTGGCCTCCCAAAGTGCTGGGATTACAGGTGTGAGCCACCACGCCCAGCCCCTACTGCAGTTTTGACACTGGGATGTGAACTCGTCCACACTCCTGCCATAGAGAGGGGGCCTGTGTTCCTCCCATTGACTCTAGGCAGCTGTGACTGCTTGGACCAATAGAGTACAGTGGAAGTGACACTGTGTGACTTCCAAAGTGATGTCATAACAAGTTCTACAATTTCTGCCGTGTTCACTGAAAACACTCTTGGAACTCTGGGCCACCTGTAAAAGCCCAAGCACCCTGAAGCTACCATGTTGGGAGGAAGCCCAGGTCACACGGGGAGGTTACATGCAGGGTCTCCATTCACAGTTCCAGCTGAGCCCAGTTTTTGAGCCCTCCTGCCCAGGAGCCACACTTGTGAGTGGAGCAGCCTCCAGATAATTCCAGTGCCCAATCCTTCAAGTCATGTGGGCTGCTCAAGCCTTCCCATCTGGGGCCCCAGACATGAGGAAGCCCTCCCTACTCTGCCCTGAGTGCCTGATCCTCAGAACCTGTGAGCGTAATAAAATGAGCCTGTTGTGTGTCTCTAAATGTAGGTGGTCTGGTACACAGCAGTAGAGAACTGGAATGTCCCTCACTCACAAGGACTCTGGCAACACCGCAGTTTCCATCTTCTTCCAGATCTGCCATCTCCTGGGGGACTTAAGTGTCATACAAATAACCTCCCATTGCCAACACTCTGGCCTCCCAGTCCTTGACCTCCTCACCCACAGCAATGTCCTCACCTGTCACCTGGGCTAACTCTTCCAGTGAACAAATGGCAGGGTCTAGTGGTTTTAAGGGACACTATGAGGGCTGTTATAAGGGAAATGGAGGCTTCCTCTTATAGCCCTTCCAAAGGTCCTGTGCCTCCCCTCTGGTGTTGTCAATATGCAGGATATTGGGAAGAGCTGCAGGTCACAAAGTCACCATGTCAACCTTCCTGTCAACCATAAAGGAATTCTGTCCCCAGGGTGGGGGAAGGGCCAGGCAGGTAGCTGGAGGCAAGTCTCCCAGAGCCAGCTGCTGACCCTAGTCCCTGCGATCTGGGGAGGTACCTGGTGAAGGGCCACAGTGTGCACGGGTGGAAGGGCAGGAGGAGGGGTGTGGCCCTTGGGCATAAGGGGAGGCGCCAGAGAAGGTGGCCAGAGGTGGCCTGTGCTCAGCCTATCTGGGCCCTGGCACAGGCACCCAAGAGTGAGGTGGGGTCACAGGGACGGCCAGATAATGAGGAGCCATGGCCGCTGGGGGCCCTGCTTCCTGCTCTTCCTGCTGCTGCTTCCTCCACCGCTTTTTAGAGCAGGAAGCCTTCGGTACCATGGACCTGGCTGGAGAATGTTTCAACGCCTGGCCCTGGGCTCCAGGAGGGCCCACCACCACCATGGCCCAGGATGGAGGCAGCAGTTGCGCCAGGGGCAAGCAGGTCACAGATGCCAGGGCTCATTTGACCTCTACTTCATCTTGGACAAGTGAGTGTCCCTTCCAGCTCTGGCCCTGGGTCACCCTCAGGAGCCACCACCTCTTTTTCACTAGGGACAGGACGCCACTCAAAGAGATGCAAGCTTCTGTCACA